GTTAAACCTACAACTCTGACCTCAGGAGGTTATATATTTGACTTTAAGTGACCCAATGTATTGATCCATTTATACTCTCCAGTTAATATGTCACCTGTCATCTGGTCGGGTTGTACATCAGTGTTTAATGACAGTTCAGTGGAGTGTGAGCTTTAAAATCCTCCCTCTCTAAACCCGGTATACCTCCAATAATGTGATCTTTTCCTCATTGTGCAGCTGCACAGATCTCAAAGCCTTCCACCTTATTTTTATCCCTTGTGAAAGGTAATTCTTTGTGTGTGATTGAACTTTAATTCATACTTTTTTTGTGCATAATAGCCCTTTTATCTTTTTGCTTTACGGTGAAAGTTCACTCTTCTGTTGAGTTTGTTGTTAATATATTATGATCTCACATTGTTTAATATTGCATTATGCTCTCATTTACAACAATATATACAGTAACTGAGAATTTCCATGATTATTGTTCATATGAAACTAGTTCATTATACAGTAATACATAGTATAGTAGTGAAGGCTTTTGCATTTTCTTCTCAATATTGAAACGGACTCATATTGTTATTCTGTTTTCTCCTCTCATCTTTCGCCCCATTTACATTTTTTTCCATCTCACCATCTTTGCAGTGACTTTATTTTTGCTCTCTGCTCCTTCCTCTTTATATCTGTCAGCTGGCTAAGTATCATGTGTTGTTTAATAGGATGATTTGTTGTCACCAAGTCATCTGTCATCAAAAGCTAAATGATGAAATGAGAGTGTGAGCGGCACTGTCTTGTCTGTAATGAATTATGCAGGGGGGGGGTCAGGAGCCTCTGTTTTGGTTACAGTCGACAGCACAAACACGGACCTTAGGTAGTACACTCATCAGTCCTGCTGTTTCTCACCATATGGAGTCAATGAACTGGGACACCCCTCCTACACACACACAGGCACACACTTACATGCGCCTGCAGACACAATTTCATAGTAATACAGTAGATAGATAGATAGATAGATAGATAGATAGATAGATAGATAGATAGATAGATAGATAGATAGATAGATAGATAGATAGATAGATAGATATCCAACATCTGTGACTGATGTGATTATACTCAAGGCATATAAAATGATATAAGATCATCAGAATAACTAGTAAGTCACAGTAACAGAGCCTGTCCCCATCTGATGGTCACAGGGTGAAACTGCTACTGAGAAAAAAAAAGTGGTCCAAAATAATAAAATAGAATAAAATAAAATTATAAAACAAAAATAAAAAAGATCTTGATGTCCTGGATAAAAAATAGGTCTATATTGGTCTACATTTTTTTCCTTTTCTCATGTCTTTCAGTGTTTAATTGGATGAAACTGTTCACAGACAAATTTAATTATAAATTCCGGCCTCAGTACAATTGAGATATCTGTTACAGATGATGTGCAGTATAATGAATGCCTAATTTATGTAATTAGACCATTAAGCTTAATCCGAGCATATGTTGTAAATGTCCTGAGGTCTTCTTCCAGGTACTCCCTCTGATGTCACCCAGAAACAACTAATGGAGCGGTCTGCTGCGAGGACCATAATCCCGCTGTTTGACAACATAAACAAGAAAACAACAACAACAAAAAACACACCATATAATGATATCACCATTCATATTTTCGAACACAGAGATTGATTCTTTAATTCGGATTTCATTATTCTGGGGGAAAAAAAAAAAAAAAACATATTGAAGGGGCAGCATGTGAAGATGGCCTTTAAGTAGTGTGAGTATCCCGTCATATAGGCTAAATTTGCCATTGAGGAGGTTGCTGTGAGAGCCCTCTGTCTGCTAATTAATTGTCATTCTGCTGAATATTCATACCTTATCATCAGCGCGTCCTTAATTGCACCGTAAAACATCTCTGGGGGGCTGAAATCACCACGGACTTAATTAGTGGCACAGGCCTATTGGTTGGGTTTGGAGAGTCACAGTTTGCAGCAGACAGCAAACTATACATTGCTTCCCACTGAACGTGTCTTTAACGCGGAGGCTGCAGGTAGATGACAAATCCCTCTTAAGTCTACAGGCCTGCTAATGATAATCCGCGTGGCAAAAATTTAAACGACTCCAATAGAAAATTGCGGTAATTTACACCCATAATTCAACGGGATTTTAAATGTTTGTCTTAAAAACGCGAATTTGTTCACCTCTAGCGAGTGATTTGTCTATTTATGGGTTGATTGGTGGCCTGGATACACACTGCCTGCGGTCAGAGCGTAATGCTCTGTAGAAAGTCCAACGATAAACTTTAAAAACAGTGATAGACGATTTAAATCATAAAAATAAAGCCTAAAAAAATATGAAGAAAAAAATGCATTTAAAGAGACATCCAATTTTAAATAAAAGTTGTAATCCGGATCAATTGTGCATTATTTGGAGCATTTTCAACTTTGCGCATCATCCCTTGAATACGTGTTTTGCTGCGTAACGAGCATCAGCTTTAAATTTCTCTTAATCGTTCCCTGAAAGGCAATTTTTTTTTCTCCCTCCTTCTCCGCAGGTCTGGGTGGCAGCATATCTCAACTCGATTCAGTGTGACAATATTGTTTGGCTATCATTCGCTGCTTTAGGATGAATGGCATCGATCCTCTTTTAACAACATTTGTTTCCTATTGTGTTCGGGGGTGCAGCAGAGGAGGGCAGACGTGTGAAAGTGGCTGTTTGATTCTCTTTTTCATCCCCATGACCTCAGCTTTTGTGTCTCGTAACCCTGGGAATGTCACGCCTCACTACTCTACTTTAAGATGTTTCAGAAAGTGCCCTTTGTTTTCGCTCCTCTTTTTTTTTAAAGCTCACACAAAATTGTTCTTGGTCCCCTCCTGCTATAAAGGATACTTCAGGCTGAGGCACGGTTCACAAGTGCAATGCAATTTGGCTTATCCCAACCTTTGTTCGGGTTTCTACAAATGACCAAACATAGTGCAGACTTGATCTACTGCTGCTTGAACTCAGCAGTTTGGGAGCAGCTAAAAACCCTATTCAGATTCAGAGTCATGGTGGTATTTTCAGTGTGTGCATTCGACAGGGACAAAAGGCCTACCAATATCCCATAACCCTGAAGCTCAAAAAGCCACACCGTCTGTGTGTGAGAGGAGAGGAGAGGAGAGGAGAGAAAAAATACTCTTACTTCTCCTCTTGTGGCTCGGCTGGTTAATGCGATGTGTTTGCAGGTTAACTTGCAAAGCAACAAACTGGCTTGGCAGCAAGTAAGTTGCAATGCAAACATGAAACAAATAAAGACATTGCAAGAAGACAGTGTGAGATAAAGAGTCATGCGTAAAAAATAAAAATCCCAAATGATTTGCTGCGCGCCTCAGTATCAGCAGCGCGGTTTTAATAGCTCATATTAATCACATTTCACAATCATAATTATTGCACGTAACAAACTATGTGAATTACAAAGCCAACGCCTTGTGTGCACAGACATAGCAATCTGAATGAGCGCCAGTAATATAATATGTATTTTCTAATGTGTGAATGAATGAATGGGCTTGGATGTCAGAAGATGTTTGGTACTTGGCAGTGTGTTGTCATTATCCGCGGTGTTTGAGATGGGTCGACTGGGCCACTTCCTTTTGGACAAAACCTTTTCAGCTGAACATTAATGGGAAATGACAGGTGTTAAAAAGGCACTCTGCAGGGAAAAATAGTGAAACTACAGCTGGAAGTTTCAGACTTGACATTAAAAAAAAAAAAGTGACTTTTTTTACCAGTTTATATTTTTTTCTGGAATAATAGCTCAGCCTGGTAAATTAAAGCTTTTAGCACATTTACTATAATTAGATAATTTCTACGGAATAGCCTTTTTTTTCTTTTCCTTTTCTTTTTGTATTGATTCAGGGGTTTTAGATTGTTATACAGTCCTCATACAGCAGGGAGGACACTCTTCTTCAACCTGCTCCGGTTTCTGGGTGAAAATTGCTCGGTGTCCCCCGCAATGCGATTCTTTTCGTAATCCGTCAGACTGGTGATGGGGTGCATTGTGGATTTATGGGGGGAAATTAGCATAAATTATGAGCAAATCTGCGTGTGTGTGGTCCTTGGCATTGCAAACCCTCCAAGCGGAAAGGTGGCCCTGGCCAAAAGCTTGAATAGCAATAGCTCAAAATAGGCTTCCCATTTGGTTTTCACATTCATATAATTGACTTATGGATATTTTATACAGTTTTCACCACACCATCCTCAAGGGTTTATTTGCATTTCTGAAGTACTTTTGAATCTTCTTTACATAAACACAATAGAGCCGATTGCCTCATGAAGTTTCAGTTTGAATAACGTTGTTTGCATTGTGTTGATGTTTTCATATCGTCTACTTCCTTTCGCTCAGCTCTGGGCGAAATTCGCTGAGAAAAACTAATAGCCGGCTCATCAACAAACTTGCTCATGGCTAATTATTTTGTATTGAATTCCGTAAACAATATTAGACTGTGATTAAGGTAGAAGAAAAAGCAACATGGATCTTTTCGCAATATTTTATCAGTAAAATCAGCTGACGTTTTCATTCAAATCCACACCTTTAAAACGGGTTAGCAGCATGCATGACACACTTTAAGTACTGTACACACACCACTGCAGACAGGAGTATTTTTTTAATAAATCCATGTTTAGATAATATATAATAAACATCTGCCAACAGCACAGGTCGTTAAGCCGATTTTATGACAGAAAATCATTAAATTACAATAAGATAAAATCATTTACATGTTCATCCACACTCCATAATATCTACTTGTGAATTGTAACTGTAAAGTCCGTTGAAGAAGTATTTAGCGCATACCTTCACACACTGAGTGCCATCGCAGTTCAATTCCGGTTGCCGAGCCTTTTCACCCCTTTTTCTGTCTTCAAATGGAAATGATTTCCATTGGCCCAAGGTGTCCATGTAAATAGGTGTAAATGAAACCAGATTATGCCTTCCTCCCAGCCCCCTCCTCCCATGGCAATTGTCATGTGATAGCAAAGAGGTGGCACATTAATGGAGCGCCTCTACAGGGGTCTTTTCTGCTCATGTCACTACATAAAACTATCAGATGGTTAGAGGAAGGCCATGGAGGCATCCACTTAGCTCGTCTTATCAAGGACGCCAAATGAAGTCTATTCAGCTCTGCTAGCGGGACAAGCTGACTTACTTTGCAAGAAAGACTTACAGCGGCCGTCACTCCATAAATGTGCACCGTCCGCCCGCCTGCACACTGCAGAGGCGCTCAAACCTGGCTGTTTTACGCACAACGCTGCTCCGGCTTCGCTTGTGTTGAAACTTTTCTCAGCGGTTGTTTTCATGAAGAGCGACAAGCGTTCGCCAAGGAATTAAGGGAGACTACTTTTTATTGCTTTTTTTTTTTTTTTTCCTTTCCTGAAAATATCGAGGATGCCTCGTCCGGGGAGAAACACGTACAGCGACCAGAAGCCACCTTACTCCTACATCTCCCTCACTGCCATGGCGATCCAGAGCTGCCCGGAGAAGATGCTGCCTCTCAGTGAAATTTACAAGTTCATCATGGATAGGTTCCCTTATTATAGAGAAAACACTCAGCGGTGGCAAAACTCTCTGCGGCACAACCTGTCCTTCAACGACTGCTTTATTAAAATCCCCCGGCGCCCAGATCAGCCAGGTAAGGGCAGTTTCTGGGCTCTGCACCCCAGCTGCGGGGACATGTTTGAGAATGGAAGTTTCTTGAGACGCCGCAAAAGGTTCAAAGTGTTGACTTCATCCGATCACTTGGCTCCGAGTAAGCAATCGGATGCTGCCCATTACCTCCAGCAGCAAGCCAAGCTGAGACTGAGCGCCCTGGCAGCCACTGGCACACACCTTCCCCAAATGTCAACTTACAACCTCGGAGTGTCTCAGTCGTCAACTTTTAAGCACCCCTTCGCCATCGAGAACATCATCGCCAGAGAGTACAAGGTCCCGGGAAGTCTGGCTTTCTCCACCATGCAGTCTATGTCTGCCGGGTACCCGCTCCACAACCAGCTGACGACAGCCTGGCCCCACATGTACAACACCAGCGTGATTGACACGGCGGCCCCAATCTCCATGGCAAGCGGCGACTACAGTGCCTATGGCATGCCCATCAAGTCCCTGTGTCACGGGGGACAGTCCTTACCGGCTATTCCTGTGCCAATCAAGCCCACCCCGACCTCCATGGCCGGTTTCTCGGCGCTACCTCCACACATCCCCGCGTTTCTATCAAACTCTCCACAGTCTCTGAGCCCGACGTCCCCACAGACAGCGACGAGCCAAAGCAGCCCCGCGACCCCGAGCGAGACTCTGACGAGCCCCTCCACACTGCAGTCTGTGGCTGTGCACTGACCAGCTCAACTTTCCCAAGTAACACGAACTGCTGGCTGGCTCCCAGGCCCCCCTTTTACCAATTCCAAAGTTTATATTTTCTGTCGTCGGAAACTATCAAGGCGAGTTGCAGTTGCATATCGATTTATTTGTGTATGTGTTGAATGTGTCGCTTTAAATTGTCATAGAAGTCCAGCACAGAATCGCACAGCGAAGTATTGCTCTTGAAAATATAAATTATTTGATAGTTCTATTTTTCAGTTTATTGTGAAATGTGAGTGTTGAAAGTGGAGCCACGGAGGGGAACCAGGGGAAGTTTGCTTTGGCACCATCAACTCTGATTTTTTAAGTGCTTGTAATTCCCGTGGCAGTCGTTCCGTTTGATCAAATAGCAAACCTTTTGCACCGTTTCCGTGTGACCACTGTAATGTCAATGAAATTGCGAGGCAATGGCTCTGTGTTTTTGTTTGCTTTTAATACTGGAATGATGGGTAAGGGTATACCAAATAGGAATAGGATTTAGATTTGTTCTTACCATCCCTGTAAAAAAAGAAAGCAAACTGAAATTTTTTCAAAATGGAAAACTAGTATTGTGAGACGTCCTCAAAATGCAAGATGTGAATATTGCAAATAACTGATACTGAAATGTTGTAAAATGCACTTTTTAGTTTTATGTTTTAGATATCTATTTTCCAGAAAATGTTCTGTGAAGCATTTTATTTAAAAGGCTGTGGTGACCATGTGTATCAGATGCTGTAAATTTGTACTTTTTTTTAGGTAAAGCATGCATTCTAAAAAAAAATTGTGTTGTTACTGTTGTTGTTACTGTTGTTGTTTTTGTTTGTTTATTTTTTGCAAGCATGCGTGCTTTCGAAAAGTGTGCAAACAGTCTGCAATGAATTGGAAAAAAAAAAAGCTGGTCATCGAAATATTTTCTCATTAAAAGTGAAGTAAACAATCAAAAATGTTTCCGAAGATTTAATCAAAGATAATGTCACGTATTATTATTGTTATTATTATTATTATTATTATTATTACTACTACTACTACTACACAGTATTACAGTTATTATTCAACTGGCAGAACATCTTTTTTTAATCGAATATCACTCTTCAATATTTTATTATTACTAACAATATTATTACTAATAATACTAATAATAATACTACTTTGATATGTCTTCTATCCAGACCTGTATGTTTTCAGAGTGTGAGAGTTGCAGAGTGGCAGTGGGGAGAGAAATGAATCGTGCAGTCGATTAGGATGCATGGAGTTGCGATGCCATGGTCACAGCGCAGACAACTGGGCTCATTCATCAAGCTGTAGGCCAAACACAATTAAGCCCAACAATAAACATTAAGAAAAGCTGCATACAGTGTCCGAATTCATATTGTTACATATCCTCGACTTCCAAATGTTACAGAGGGAATTTAAAGTGTCATGTTGATTTTTTTTTCCTCCCCTCCGTGCAACCGACTATTTGGAGCGTTTACACGTTTTTCTGGGGGAATTTTATTCAACAGGTTTTATATAAATACGGACAGAGAGATATCTAAAGGAACCGCAAAATATAGTTCTCTTTCTTTTATTCGATCAGTTTTTAAAATTAAAATAACGCGCTTTATCTGCCTCCCCTATAGAAAGCAACAGCCTATTTCGGGGTATTAAACAAATACATTAGAATTCCGTCACTTTATGCAATCGAGTAGATCAAATAAAGGGTCTCGGGCCACTTCATTCTCCCTCATTCACTTGAATTGAAAGTGCAAAGAATAGCAAACTTAGACTGGGCCACCAATGTAGATTTAGCCTTTTTTTCAGCAAGACAAAAAGACTGATTTTTCACAAACACATTGCTGACTGGGGAACTAGGAAACGAGCTGCAAGACCCTTTTGGAATTTAAATCCACCCCTCCCCCATGGACTGTTTGGACAACAGTGTTAGTTTTTTTTTTTTCCTCCCCACTTTGTGCATTTGTGTGTGTTAACATTAATTCTGACTCTGGATGATTAAATGTATTGAAACTGCAACGCCAGATTACAAGCTTTAATTTTGAATCTGATTTTATTCTTTTTCCGGCTTTGTCCTTGCAAATACATTAAAACCACATTAACAAACATTTGTAACTTTTTCATTCAGCACCTTGCGGTGATTAAATCCAGCAACAAATGTGTCCCATAAAAAAGTAACATCATAATATATATATATAATAATATATATTTACTACATATTTATTCTTGTGCAATCTTTTTTTAACTTGGATTTCAGTGAACTTTTGTCTTATTTGGTAGCATATTTATTGCAGTGTTACAAGTGTCTATCTATAATATATAGATGAATGTATGAAAATAAATTTTGGGAATAAAAAGTAATTCATTTTAAAGTCATCCCAGAATGTGAAATGTGACAATAACCAAAAGTTTTTATTTGATGTATTATATGCTACTTTGGAGCAGAAATACAATATTCAAATGCAAATTGCATCTAAAAAGTAACAACAACCTGCCACCCTGTAGTTGAATGTTGAACATCAATGGTATGAAGTCAATCTTGAAAAACAAAAGGAAGGCGTTGTTGGCTTGCACTCAATTTCCCTTTACAATTAAAGTGAACACCTTCCGCTTTTCCTGCAAACAATGTTCAAAGAAACAAACAATGCAAATTAATTTAACAATTAAAAGGATAAAGTGTAAAACTACTGGCATTAAAAATGATGTAACAGGTGGGAAAGAGAGGAAACACTTACTAGACCTTGCTATAGGAATCTCCTCTCTGACACCCTGACACTCATGAAATTGAAATAAATAGTCTGGAAAACACACATTTTTTCTGAATAAAACTCCTGAAACAATAACAGTTTCTGACAGACCAAGTTTTTTTTTTTTTTTTTATCTGCAAACATGGTCCCAGAATCTTTCCTCCTACCTGCTCCTGAGCCTTTCTTTCCTTCCGTAATACAAATAAAATCTGTTCTTGCCATTTCAGTCCATTATACATACAGTATCTTCCACAGTTCAGCAGCATCAGTATGAACTGAACTGTTGTATAATCCAAGCCTGCATTGTCCTTGTTCTCTCAACTATGTTCCACTTAGACAAAGAAGAAGGTCATCTTAGGCAGGGGATGAAATATAGACCACATGCAAAACCCCAATGTTGTAGTTTAATTAAAATAATTCATTAAAGTGGAGGCCCTAGGTAATTAGCATGTATAATTTATGATTTGCTTAATGCATGCAGGCAGTGGCCTCCGCAATAAACTCAACTTAACCTCAAGTAGGGAGCTGATATGGACAGGGTGGTGTTATTTACTATGTGTTTATTGTTTGGATATTTGTCAGGAGGAAGCAAAAACCCAGGCAGTTATCCAGCTTCCACTGCACACAAACAACTTATTTGTTTTTGAGTTTATCTTGTGGATTTATGCTCACTCATAAGAGAAGCTGTCAGATTTGTTGTGAAGGAGCGATATTGGGAATTGCCCTCACCTTTTTTTCTTCTTTTTTTTGGCATTTATGTTCACAGTTATCCTGCTGGTCACTAGTGTTGAAAATAGTCTATGCTGGATCTTTGAGCTGACAGAATGAGGACATGCACAAACACCACCAGGTAGCTCCTCTTCTCTCCCATAAGCGGACTGTCAGTGCTGACTTTTAAAAGAAGCAAAAAATAATCACTGATAGACAAAACGTGCATTAATTATGCTCTGCAAATGTGTCAATCCTTGACAAGCCTTTCACGTTCTGAAGCGTGGCTACTGGCTATATTTTTTTATTTCTTGCAAGTACATGTAGTTTTTATAAAAACAACAAAGTAAAACAAATATTTTCAGATGGAGCTGTGGACCATGGTAAACAGATTTATTTTAGTGGTAAATAGAGCAACATGATGACGGGTGAGTATGGAGCTAGTGAATGAAAATCCTTAGTTCCAGACGCTTATATCTGACATACTATGAGTCTATCAAACCTTTGTATAAATCATACACAATCTACTACTAGTAAATCTTAATATTCATAAGATTTTTTTATGTCAGAGCTCACTCATCTGTTTTATTTGACATCATAAATACAGTTTGGGAATAATATCCTACAAGTGAAACTCCTGTCCTCGCAGTATCATAATGAGACTATATGGTTAAATCATCAGTCATAATGTGTGACTGCCAGGCTAAATACATTACATGGCTGTGTCTGAGGGCAAAGGGCAGGTATAGTGGGCAGCTGGAGGGAGAGGCAGGGGAATGCACCAGCATTCAAGGCTGGCTCAGCCAAACACCCATGTGTGCATGAAATTAGAGTGTCAACATCTGATTCATGCTGCTGGGTGGTGACTGTGAAACAAATTATGTCAGCGGGTGGCAGCGGCGAAATTCCACTGAGCTGCAGCAGACAGCGGCTACAAGGAAGTTACAGCAGGCCGTAGATTCTGTTTTATAAACTGTGATGGAACTTTTTTTATGTGATAAATTTAAAGGTTCTCAGTTCTTATCCCAGCCCATCACAAAAATAAGGGGATATATATTTTGAAGAGTTGTGCTTTAGAGCCTATTCTTGAGCTGCAGACAGTGAAATTTAAGCTCTCTAATGGAAGTAGGTGTCGTAAAGAAGATGTAATGGTTCTGGGAAATGGGGTGATAATTGTTAGTGAAGATAAGGATGCATATTGTCACAGACAGGGTGTGTGAGGTGCAAATGAAAGACTCCCTGCTCTGACACTGTCAGCAGCATAAACAAGGTTTTTATGAATACAAATTCACATTCATGGAACATTTTTCCAAATGTAATTTTAAGTGGAAATACCTTTTTGCAAACAGTAATCCCTCCTCTGTTGCTCAGGATATTTTTTCCGTTTTTCCTGCAGTTAACTGTTTTTGTGGACTTTTTCCCAATCTGAATAGTGTCTTTGGTTACAGAGTGCCATATGTTGTACAGATTGTGAATCCCTTGAAGGCAAATCTGTGATTTTTAACTATATAAATAAAACCAACTTGACATTACTTGACTAATAACATTAGATTTATTTGGGTAGGACACTGGTTTCACAAAGCAGTGACAGTAACTCATACGTTTTCCAATAGGTGATGCAACGCTATACCGCCTCCGTACATAGATGGATCTCCTGTTATTGGCTCCTGAGTGTGTGAAAGTACAGGGCGGGTTGAGACAAGGTGAGACAACCAACAGAAAAGCATTCATCAAACTTCAGGCTCCAAGCTTGTCGACCTCCAGCCATTACATTTAACATTTGACTCGTATGGACTTCTAAATTTGATCGTTAAAGTGGATTGAGCAAATGGTTAAAATTGAAGAATTTGACTCTTTTTGCTGTGTCCATAGGTGTCTAATTCCATTGCGTTATTTGATGATGAACCCGATTTTATTCCGCAGTGTTTATTAGCATGCCTGTCAAGGGTGTGTTCTGAGAGCTATAAGTGTCTGCTCTGTCCCGGCTTGTCTGGTAAATCTGTTACACTTTCAGGGTATTTGATAATTCTATTGATTTTTTTAATTCAAAGAAGCTAGTGTCTGACCAAATGCTTGTTCGTGCAGAACCTCAGTGTGGGAAGCCAACTAAATACAAACAAGCCGCTTTAATGAAGGTACTTAACAGATTTGACACTACAATGTTTTGGTTCTCAAGTGCTTTAGCTGTTAGGTGCTAGAACTGTAATAGATTCTGTGGATTTTAGCAGCCTGCTATTTCCCCTTTTAAATGTGGGACGAAAAGCTAATTCATCACCTTTCCATGGGATCTTATCGTACCCTCTCCAGCCATAAACTAACACTTACACAGGACTTCAAAGGTGCACGAGATAGCAGAGGTGAGAAAAGGGGCCTACATCCACTTGGGGCCAGTTCCTTCCAGAGATGAGATGGAGCTGATTAGCAGGAGTGTGCAGCAGGGCCCTGTGGGGCAGCAGCTGGAGGAGCACTCCCCACGGGAGCAGGGAGAGGTGTGAGTTTTGACAGCTCCTGTCTCTCCCCTCTGGATACTGCAGGGTCAGGGCACCCTCAGCGGGCTCGGGTTCCGTGCTGGATAGGAAGTCAGCAGTAATTGCCATTCAGCCAGTGGGACAGAAACAGAGGCAACAATAACCAGCCAAAGAACACACAGCCCGTTTCCTCTTTGTCTTGATGTGTTTGAGGAAGGATGCTACCTCCTCTCTGTCAGAACAAAGCCGCAATAAAGTTCTCACAATCAAATACAATCTTGCAGAAGTTGCTGAGGAAGACGTATCATTCTGGTGTAGCTGCTGCGCACTCAGAGCGCTTTCCTATCCCAGAGAAGGCCCAGATGGCTGCTTGTTATTGCATAACAAGGCTGCATTGTTTTGTTAATGTAACTTCATCTGTCTTTGATCTAATCTCATGTTGTCCTGGCCAGTGTGAAAATCCCTATCAAGTGCATGATCCGGCAGTGCTCTCATTGTGATTGTGATAATCTCCTGCATTGAAATTCCACTTTGTTCCTTTGTTTCTTTGTTAGTGAACACAATGTGAGGTTAATTAGCAGCCACTGGTAACCTCAGCGTTCCTGGATACTTCATCACAGCTGAAGTGTACTCTTCACCAGGCCGGTGGCACTAACAAGACCAAACACAAGGCCAATTGAAAGTAAGTCGAATACAAACGCAGCAGCAACTTAAACCATTACAGACTAACACACAAGCCTCAAAAGTACCAACTGTAATTGTTTCTTCGTGTCATTAATTGCTCTCATTGTTGTTTCCTTTCTAAGACTGAAAAACAAACAGAGGAGGAACTGACTAAACCAGCATAGCATCAGGTTATGTTTACGGAAAAGGTTGCGGTGATCAAGTTTGTCAAACATTAAAAGGCTTTAATGTGGTTATTATCTGATTCTGAGGTGTCACAGTATCATTTTCTGTTTCTTCTGTGGTGCAGAAGCTCTCAGCACAGTGCATTTATCTGCAATATTGCCCTTCCGCCACTTCAGATCTCCCCATTCCCTGGTGGTCTAATTTATGTTAAGTCACAAACCTCCCCTATGGCTGTTTTGAAATGTTCAGAATGGAGACTGTGTGCTCCAGGTTTATGCCAGCACCACAATCCCCTGTATAATTGTTCTCTATGGGAAAGCACATCTCAGTGAAACC